TCTCAAAACTTTCTAAATAAAGGGCCAGTTTATTGTATTTCAAACTTTAGGGGGGGGGGGGGGGCGGACTGTGGCAAGCAATAGTGGAAATTTTCCTGGTATCAGTGGAAGAGTAAACATCGCCACATTTGGCATTAGGGAAGAAATAGTGCCCCATCATTGATATAATTGGGAGGAATAGTGCCCCATTATTGATGTCATTTGGAGGAACAGTGCCCCATTATTGGTATTAGTGGGAGAAATGGTAGCCCACTGTTTGTATCAGTTGGCAGAATAGTGTGCCGTATAAGTGGGAGGAATAGTGCCCCAAGGGCCAGATAAAGGCAGGCAAAGGGCCAAATCCAGCCCCAGGGTCGCAGTTTGGAGACCACTGCTTTAGGTGAATGGAGACTACATGCTAACATTTGCTGGTGGACTAAATAGAGAAAATGCTGTGTGCGTAGCTCAGTAATTTGCCATGACCTTTGATGGATGTTGCTTTTTTAACATTTTGGTTAAATCCTGTGTTAGGCCTTTTGCACACTGCAGTTTGAAATGCTCAGTACAGAGTTTTGTTTTTACTGATCTAAAATGCAGCCCATTGTTTACAATGTGCCAGTACACACAGACACATAAACAAGCGCTGTATATTCTTGAGTAACAAAAATGCAAATGTGCGCATATGAGCATACATATTAATGGATTTTGCCAAAGAATGTATAGCAAAATATGCGCAAATACACACATAAATATGTGTGAATACATGCAAAACAAATGCCTGAAATTTTGCCCAGAAATGCGCAGATGCTCACACATCAGTACCGTGTGCAGGAGGCCTTACTCTAAAACCATTGTCCATCATTTCTGTGAATTCATTGCCAGTATTTTATCCCCGAATAAAGGGGGAGTGTTAAGCCCCTGAAATGCACTGTCTTTGCAACATTGTTTATCTCATTTTACCTTGGAATAAATCTGTTTCTAAATTATTACATTTTGATGTAGTCTTACCTTCCCTGAAGCTTGAAGGTGACATCATAAAACTAGGCACAGAAGTAATTTCATATCTCTGCACATCCAGCAAATTTAGATCTCTTCAAAAATCAAAAGTTGAGATGGTCCAGTGTGGTCAAGATGTGGAAGCTTGCCCAAAAAGAAAAACTCTTTGCCACAGTAATAATGCTATACTGTATAAGTGATGGAATAATAGCTGGCGGGTAAACCACAAGTCCTGTCTGAAAACGTAGCCCATGCATTCCTGCCACAGACCTGTACATCTTCAAGGCCTCTGATCCAAGCATATGCCTTCTCTTTTCTTAACTTAATAACTGCACTTTTTAGGGGAAATAGATTCCCTTTGTGACTTTATGTAAAGGATATACATTGACAATTTACCCTGCACTATATTGTTTCTAGAAGGAAAATATTTTCACAACTCATAGACAATTCTATAATGGTCATGCCATAATATCCTAGCCATTTAAAATAAGGACCATTGTAAAGCTCTTCAATTTTCTAGATGCAATTATTTCTGCAAGCCCACATGTACTGAATAACAACATGGTTGGATCTAGGGGGTGCTGGGGTCGGCATGCCCCCCAAATTTCAGCTACGCCCCCCTCCCCAGGCAGACTTTATCCAAGAGAAGCTGTCTGCAGCTGCTTACATAGCCAAGACAGCACGCTCCCACCTCCCCTTCATTGCATGGGCAGGAGAAGAGAGGAGATCATGTACACTGCCTCCTCCCACCCCTCTCCTCCTGTCTGCCCCACCCACACTCCAACTCCTAACCAGTGCTGAGCCTGAGAAGATGTGTGGGCAGGAAATTTCAAGCACTGCTGCTGACAACTACATCTTGGCTGCAAGATTGATTCCTCTGAGTGACCCTGCAGAGACCAACCTGGGTGAGTGAGCTGAGCTCTGCACTACACCCGATCTCTCCCCATCTCCCTACTTCTTCTCCCCCCTCCATTTCCCTCCTTCCTCACTCCCCCCTCCATTCCTCATTCCTCTCTCCCCCCCATCTTCTTTCCCCCCTCCATTCCTCTCCTTCTTCTCTCCTCCCCCTCCATTTCTCTTCTTCTCCCCCCCCCCCCCCTCAATCTCCCTTCTTCTTCTCTCCCTCCTTCTCTCCCCTCCTCCATCTCCCTCCTTCTCTCCATCCTCCATCTTTCTCTTCCTCCTCCATTTCCCTCCTTCTTCTCTCCACCCTCCATCTCCCTTCTTCTTCTCTCCCCCTTCCATCTCCCTCCTTCTTCCCCCCTCCATCTCTCTCCTTCTACTTTCCCCCCTACATCTGCTTCCTTCTTCTCTCCCCCCTCCATCTCCCTCCTTCTTCTTCCCCCCCTCCATCTCCCTCCTTCTTTTCTCCCCCCTCCATCTACCTCCTTCTTCTCTCCCCCCTTCTTCTCTCCCTCCTTCTTCTCTCCCTCCTCCATTTCCCTCCTTCTTCTCTCCCTCCTCCATTTCCTTCCTTCTTTTCTCCACCCTCCATCTTCCTCCTTCTTCTCTCCGCCCTCCATCTCCCTCCTTCTTCTCTCCACCCTCCATCTCCCTCATTCTTCTCTCTCCCCTCCATCTCTCTCCTTCTTTTTTCCCTTCTCCTTTTCCCTCCTTCTTTCCTCCCCTCTCCATCTCCCTCCTTCTCTCCCCCCTCCATCTCCCTTTTTCTTCTCTTCCCCCTCCATCTTCCTCCTTCTCTCCCTCCTTCTCTCCCTCCTCAATCTCCCTCCTTCTCTTCCTTCTCCATTTATCTCCTTCTTCTCTCCCCCCTCCATCTCCCCGTTCTTCTCTCCCCCCTCCATCTCCTTTCTTTTCTCCTACCTCCATCTCCCTCCTTGTTCTCTCCCCCCCCCCTTTAATTTCCCTCCTTCTTTCCCGCCTCCATTTGCCTTCTTTTTCTCTCCCTCCACCTCTCCCTCCTGCATCTTCCTCCTTAACTGGTCACTCCTGCAATACACTACCTTACTGACTCTTGTCCTCCGCTTTGCTGACTGACCATCCTGTCCCCTGCTGACCCCTTGTACACTGCCCTTCAACTGCTGATCTCTGCCCTCTGCTCTGATAATACCTGCCCTCTGCCTTGCTGACCTCCAGTACACTCCACTACTGATTCCTGCTTTTGCATGCTGTCCTGCTGACCTCCTATCCTTTGCCCCCCCTGACATTTTTTTACTGCACCCCCATATAAGACCAGCTAGATCCAGCCCTGAATAACACACTGAGGACTTGTGGGGAGGCACAGCATTGTGCGGGCAGTAAATACATAGAATCTGGCTACAGTAAAGCTTGGAACTTGTATTGAACAGAATGCTAACATTGCAAACACCCTGGTGGAGAGCACCGCTAGGGAAATAACTCACAGTTCAATGTAATCAGAGGTGGCTGAGGAGAGGAGCATCTGTTTCAGAGGGTGAAGTGTGGCCTGGCCAGACCAGGTCCCAAGAAGGGAGGCTCCTTCCCAGGATAGCAAGTCCCTAGCCTGTCCCTCCTCATCAGGAACCTTTCCCTACCGCTAGTTACTTCCCTAACAAGCAGGGTCTCTCTGCCTACATTAGCCACTCGCAAAATGCGCACCAAAACCCGGGGACAGGGGCTTAAATAGGCCCTACTAACCCAAGATGGCTGCTTAGGGTCACATGGCCACCGCCTAGCCAACCGGAACGATGCTCTAATTGACCCAGGAAACAATAGAGAAACTAGGTTTCCTTAGGACTTCCTTTCCAGGCTGTGGAAGCACTCAGTTCGAGCTCTATCTACAGTGGAGAAAACAGACTGCACCTGAGTACAGACTAACAACACCACTTGCTCACAGCTCAAAGACAAAGGCTTGTTACAATTGCTCAACAAAGGGAAATACACTGTTAGCCTTGCATATTCTGTTTTGTACCTTAATAGAAAGATCTTGGCCCCATTTAGACCCCTATCAGCATGGATCTGCATTGAATGCAGTGATACTAAAGCTGATCTGTCATTGTTCATTATAAGTTTATAAGTGTCTTGTACTTGCTTGTAACCCTTATCGGTAACAGTTCATGGGGCAAGTGGATAGGTGCTACAATTGTCCACATATCTGAATTAATAATGGATGGTCAAGCAGAAGAGATGAAGTATGTGCTAGCATTTTTGTATCAATAATAGAAGGATTTCACAACCCGTTCAACACAATCTCTGTACACTACATTTCCTTTACCTGATCTGACCTGCTTCACTGAAGAATTGAGTAGGAGAGGCTGATGCTATTCATAGCTCAGCACATATTTATTGCAGGTTGTAAAACCTGTCTATTACCAAGATATCCATGTCTATACACTTTATAGAAAGAATTTTAGATTGAGACATTTGAGGGACGCTGTATAGATTCTGCTTGCTGCAACCTCCTCTAGTGAGGTTAAGAAGCAGAAGACAGATATAATTATTCTATATAGGTCACAATTCCTCTTTTGGTTGTTTGAGGAAGGACCAATTGGAACATTCTTATTTTAGATATTTCTCTTTCTGTAAAGGTAATTTTAAAAGGCATAAAAAGTGCAAAACAGAGATCGCTAACAGACTTTGAAGTAAGTTATGAAAACTGGACTGAGCTATAAAATCTTTCATCAATCATCATCATAGTTCTAATGACTAACACAATGCCTTTGGCAAGGCCTGATCCATATAAGGACTTCTTCCAACAGTCTTGATGAATGAGAGGTTAAGGCCGGCTCCCTGCCAATCCCCCGTTTTGACAGCTACAGGGGGATCCTCCCCCCCAGCTGTCAAATTTAAGAAAAACGTGTTTGTGTAGGACTCTGCCACCATGCCACTTCTCTGTGAATGGGAAACTACAAGTCCCAACAGCCTTAGCAGCTGTCGGTTTGTAGTTCTTAATGAAGCTGAATCTTCCTGTCAGTATACCTGTTTGCGCGTATATCCGGTATGGGCAAACAGGAATACTGACAGATCTGCAGGGGACCTGCATGGCATCAGCAATCTACTGATAACTGGTGCAATGCTTTACAGGCTCTTGCAGCAAAAGAGAATAAATGCATATTTTTACCTGCAAAAATGTGCATTTATTATTTTTTTACCAAAAGGTTAACTTATCCTTTAAGGCAACGTGATGTCCAATTATGACCAGGGGCGGACTGACCATTTGGAAACTTGGGCACTGTCTGAGGGCCCGGGGTCAGTAGGGGGCCCCATGAGATGCCCCTGGTACCTTTTTCATAGGCTTTTTTGAGTTTGGGCAAGAACACAGGGGCCCCATGATCCCCTATTGCCCAGGGGCCCCATGAGTTGTCTGTCCGCCCCCGATTATGACCATAACCTCTCTAAAATGGTGCCCAGAGCCTACAGCAGCTTTCAGCAGAGACATATGCAGGGCTCCCTTTAGAACAGTCCCTACACAGATACATTTTGGACATCTAATGGCACTTAGAAGCAGAATTCTTCCAAGGAATTAAACCTTTCTGCAATCATATGAAGCATGTTTCAGTTTATTTATGCATATCTGCTAACTGATACCTTTTTATATAGTTTTTTTTTTCTATTTAAGGTTGCCATATGAGGACCAGGCTTTGGACTGCAGTGGTAGAGCCTTTATGGTAACAGGTCATTATGCAAAACCAAACTAGGCAAAATGGATATTATACTTTTTAAGCATATACTTCTTTAACCACTTACCTCCTTCATGACAAAGGCATTTTTTGCTATACGGCTCTGCGCTAATTTAACTGACAATTGTGCGGTCATGCAACACTGTACACAAATGACATTTATATAATTTCTTTTCACACAAATAGAGCTTTCTTTTGAATTATTTTTGATCATTACTGGGTTTTTTCTATTTTTTTTTTGCTCTATATTTGAAAAAAGACTGAAAATTTTAAAAAGAACAATATTTTTGCTACAAAACATATCCAATAAAAAACATTTTTTAAAATCTTCATTAATTTTGGCCAAAATGTATTTCAAACGCATGCCAAGGTCCAGGAAGTGGAACGGCGGTGCACAAACACTGAGTGTATTGGTGCTGAGATATTAAGCACCGCGTTTTGTAAGTGTAAAATTTTCAATACTTTTTATTGCCAAGTCTTAAGTAAATGCTGCACAATGAGAGATTCTGTCTTTGTGGTCCTTGGGTAACTTTGATGGAGTGACATCGGGTATATAGGACAAGTGATGATTGGAGGAAAAGGGAGGAACAGCAGTTGGAAAGAATCTTTGTCCGTTGTATATTCAAAATAGTATAGACAGTTATCTTTGAGAATGAACAATTGCTTTTTTTTTTGCTTTTTCCAAGTTTTTACACGGCCATCTTGGAGTTTGCATGTTCTCCTTGTGCCTGTTTGAGTTTCTTCTGGTTTTCTCCAACATCCCAAAGACATGGAGATTGAGTGCGGGGTGTCCATGGGGAGTGTAAGCATCCACTTATAGTTTCACTTTCACAACTAGGAGCACCCCTAGGTGCTCTTAAAGGGGCAGCTACAAAGAAATGCAATGCACCTGCTCTTAAAGGGGCAGGTAAAAAAATATTGCAATGCACCTACAATGAAGGAAATCAGTATCTGGTCCCCTGCTGATTTGGAATGATTGCCGACTCACAAAGAAAAGATCAGTCTAAAAATCGAATGGTAGGTGTATTGTAACACTGAGACACAGAAAAGCAACAACAAATTCAAAAGAAATGCATGTCTAACCAATTATGCACTGATTTGCATGTTCATGAGGGAAATAAGTATTTGATCCCATTCACAAAACATGACTTAGTACTTGGTGGCAAGTCCCTTGTTGGCAATCACAGAGGTCAGACGTTTCCTTTAGTTGGCCACCAGGTTTGCACACATCTCAGGAGGGATTTTGGCCCACTCCTCTTGGCAGATCCTCTCCAAGTCATTAAGGTTTGGTGGCTGACGTTTGGTAACTCAAACTTTCAGATCCCTCCACAGATTTTCAATCGGATTAAGGTCTGGAGACTGGCTAGGCCACTCCAGGACCTTATTGTGCTTCTTCTTGAGCCACTCCTTTGTTGCCTTGGCCATGTGTTTTGGGTCATTGTCATGCTGGAACACCCATCCAGGACCCATTTTCAATGCCCTGGCTGAGGGAAGAAGGTTCTCACCCAAGATTTGGCTGTGCATTGCCCCGTCCATCGTCCCTTTGATGCTGTGTAGTTGTCCTGTCCCCTTAGCAGAAAAACACCCCCCAATCAGAATGTTTCCACCACCATGTTTGACAGTTGGGATGGTGTTCTTGGGGTCATAAGCAGCATTCCTCCTCCTCCAAACATGGCGAGTTGAGTTGATGCCAAAGAGCTCAATTTTGGTCTCATCTGACCACAACACTTTCAACCAGTCCTCCTCTGCATCATTCAGATGTTCAGGGGCAAACTTCAGACGGGCCTGGACATGTGCTTTCTTGAGCAGAGGGACCTTGCGGGCACTGCAGGATTTCAATCCTTGTCGGTATAGTGTGTTACCATCTGTTTTCTTGGTGGTCCCAGCTGCCTGGAGATCATTGACGAGATCCTCACGTGTAGTTCTGGGATGATTCCTCACTGTTCTCATGATCATTAACACTCCATGAGGTGAAATCTTGCATGGTGCACCAGACCTATGGAGACTGACAGTTGTTTTGAGTTTCTTCCACTTGCGAATGATTGCACCAACTGTTGTCACCTTCTCACCAAGCTGTTTGGGGATAGTTTGGTAGCCCAGTTCAGCCTTGTGTAGGTCTACAATCTTGTCCCTGACATCCTTGGACAGCTCTTTGGTCTTTGCCATGGTGGAGAGTTTGGAATCTGATTGTTTGATTGCTCCTGTGGACAGGTGTCTTTTATACAGGTAACAAAATGAGATTAGCAGCACTCCCTTTAAGAGACTGCTTCTAATCTCAGCTTGTTACTTGTATGAAAGACACCTGGTAGCCAGAAATCCTGCTGAATGATAAGGGATCAAATACTTATTTCCCTCATTCATAATTTGTTAGACATGCATTTCTTTTGAATTTGTTGTTGCTATTCTGTGTCTCAGTGTTACAATACACCTACCATTCGATTTTTAGACTGATTATTTCTTTGTGAGTGGGCAAACATTCAAAATCAGTAGGGGATCATATACTTATTTCCTTCACTGTATATGGTGCAGGTTTGCATAAGGTTTCACTATATTTATATTTCACTTTTGGTAATATGTGAATTGTATTATGGTTCTGCACAGGCAGTAATTTAGCTTGGAGGAAAGGCACCATATCTCTTTTAGTAATGATTTTACCTCCTGCGCTATGAATTGAAAAAATAAATAATAACTACAAAGCTGTTGACACCCAAACTTATACCTATAAGTGAAAATGGTGCTGAGAATATAAAATATAATGGTGTAGCGCTAATACATAAACATTTATATAACCCCATATAATAATACGATAATAATAAAAATCATAAACTGTGACACATATATAGTGATCTGAGATCTTGAAGTGACAGGAAAAACATGTGGTCCTAATTGGACCCAATTTAGTGAACACACACAAAAAATAACAAACAGACAACCCAAATCCCTAATTGGGATCAGTGGCTAGAAATCAGCCTAAAAAAAATCAAACCAAACAAGTGACACATGAAAGGGAATCCCTGCAAAGGGGGATATAGCTCCTATATAAAGTGACTCATGCTTAGTGAGAACTTCACAAAAAAACTCCAAATATTAAAACAAATACCGTATTTTCCGGCGTATAAGACGACTTTTTACCCCTTGAAAATCTCCTCAAAAGTCGGGGGTCGTCTTATACGCCGGTATACGGCATGCTGACACTTTTTAGGGGGGAGGCGCGGTGCCACCGCTGCCCCCTCCTTCCAACGGAAGGGACACTAAGTACAGGGGTGGGCAGGGGGCTGCTGTTTCTTACCTGGCTCCGGTCCCACGACGATCCGGTCCAGGAAGCGCGGCTGCTCCTTCATTCAGTTTGGCCACTGGATGTTCGCGCGGCTGCTCGGCTCCGCCTCCTCACCGTGATTGGGCGCCAGAACTGTAGCTCAGGAGAGGCACACAGGCGGGTAATCACCGGCGAGGAGGCGGAGCCGAGCGGCCCCGTGAAAATCGAGTGAAGGAGCGGACGGTAAGTGTGCCGCACAGAGGTGCTGCTGCAACCACATATGCTGGCTGCAGAAGCACCATACTGGAACAGGGGTCAGCAAGTGTCATTGGTGTCAGTGGGAGGAATAGTGCCGCATCATTGGTGTCACTGATACCAATGATGGGGCATTATTCCTCCCACTGACACCATTGATGGGGCACTTTTCCTCCCCCCCACTGACACCAACGATGGGGCACTATTCCCCCCCCCACTGACCCCAATGATGGGGCACTATTCCACCACCCCCACTGACACCAATGATGGGATACTATTACTCCCACTGACACCAATGTTGGGACACTATTCCTCCCACTGACACCAATGTTGGGACACTATTCCTCCCACTGACACCAAAGATGGGGCACTATTCCCCCCACTGATACTAATGATGGGGCACTATTCCTGCCACTGATACCAATTATGGGGCACGATTCCTCCCACTGACACCAATGATGGGGCGCTATTCCTCCCACTGACACCAATGATGGGGTGCTATTCCTCCCACTGACACCAATGATGGGGCACGATTCGTCGCTCTGACACCAATGATGGGGCACTATTCCTCCCACTAATACCAATGATGGGGCACTATTCCTCCTATTGATACCAATGATGGGGCACTATTCCTCCTATTGATACCAATGATGGGGCACTATTCCTCCCACTGATACCAATGATGGGGCACTATTCCTCCCACTAATACCAATAATGGGACACTATTCCTCCCACTGACACCAATGATAGGGCACTATTCCTCCCACAGACACCAATGATGGGGCACGATTCTTCCCACTGGTGTGCATTGGAAGAGGGGTAGTCTTATACGGCGAGTACAGCCCAAACACTACATTTTAACAGGAAAAGTAGGGGGTCGTCTTATACGCCGGAAAATATGGTATGTAAAAAACAAACAAACAATCTCCCCCAATTGGTACCACATAAAAATATTCCAAAAATTACTAAAAATAATTCTATAGTGAAATATACATATAAAAATAAAAAACAGTATTAATTAAAATAAATAATTGTAAAAGTCCAAAAAAGTGCACATATGCCAAGTGTCCCACTAATTCTTCCAAAACATGCAGGTAATGCAGTGAATGTGCGTTACAGCCGCTGGTAATAAAATAAAAAAATGGCTGAATTGCCTCCTCAAATCCTTACCATGACCCAATGGTCCAAAACGCTTGTGGGATCATAAATGGATCCTCCACAGACAGATTCCCCTCTGTGGTATCCTTTCAAATAGTAAAGGCCACTTCAGTAGTATGCGTTTAGCTTCTCAGGTCCCCTTTAGGTTCCCTTCAGATATGCGTAACTGTAATACAGCCAACTCACCTATGGATCATAATAAGGACATAAAAGAGAGATCCTCCATAGTGTAATACCATTTAACGTAAACAGAAAGACATAGCACCGCCAATTGCCCACCCACTTGGTATCAAAAGAAAACAAGCATTCAAACCACATGCTATGGGTGTAGTTTGCATGGGTTTCAGGAGTAGTAAGATGGCGTCCACGCCGGAAGTTAGTATTCTAACCCTAGCATTTAACGCTAACCCTTAACCCTACCTCTAACTCTAACTGTTAATCTAAATCCTAGCCCTTCAACCTAATCTTAGCCCTTAACTTTAACTCTAACATTTAAACCTAACCCTATCCCTTAAACCTAATCCTAACATTTAACCCTAGCCCTTAACCCTAACATTTAACCCTAGCCCTTAACCCTAGCCCTTAACCCTAACATTTAACCCTAGCCCTTAACCCTAGCCCTTAACCCTAACATTTAACCCTAGCCCTTAACACTAACATTTTACCCTAACATTTAACCCTAGCCCTTAACCCTAACCCTAACATTTAACAATAACCCTAACCTTTAACCCTAAAGCTAGCCATTACCCTAACATTTAACCCTAGCCCTTAACCCTAACACTAACATTCAATCCTAACCCTAGCCCTTAACTCTAGTCCTAACATTTAACCTTAGGCCTTAACTCTAACTCTTAAACCTAGGTGTTAACCCTAACCCTAACATTCAATCCTAACCCTAGCCCTTAACCCTAACCCTAACATTTAACCTTAGCCCTTGACCCTAACTCTAACATTTAAACCTAGGTCTTAACCCTAACATCTAACCCTAGCCCATAGCCTTAACCCTAACATGCGTCTTTGGACGCATAAACATTCCTGCACTACTTTGATGTGACTTTGATGCTACTTGAGTTCCAGAGAGTGTAATGTCACATCAACATTGCACCCATCCAAGTCGCACCCAAGTCCCATCCAAGTCACACCCATCCAAAGTTGCACCCAAGTCCCATCCAAGTCACACCCATCCAAAGTTGCATCAAAGTTGTACTATATGAACAGAACTGTCAGACTTTAGCAAAAGAATGTGAAACGCAACAAAAATGCAACACTCGCATTTTATTATTATTATTATTATTATTATTTACATCGAGTTTATATAGCACCAAAGGGTTTGCTCAGCGCTGTACAATAGAGGGGGGACAATACATGAAACAGTACAGCAACTACAAACAGCACACGAGGGTTAGAGGGCCCTACTCTTTCGAGCTCACAATCTAGGAGATTTTTTATATGTTCCATTGAAGTCTATTGCACAAAAAACCCAACTGTTGCGGGAAAAAATTCTCCGACTCTTTCAAAAAAACACTCCAGCTCAAAACACACAGATGTGAACTAGATCCATAGGAAATCATTTTAAATGGACTGTAGTGTGTTTCTGCAAACTGGAAAATGTACTAAAAAACGCTCAAGTGTGAACATAGGGTAAGAAAGAAGTGAATCATAGGAGGCATTATTTTGCAACAGAGGAAGCTACTACGCTTAATAGTATGTAAAACCATCACAGCTAATAAGAGATTTGAGTTGGTGATCAAAGCATTATTGATTATTGTTACAATTAAAGTCTGCATATGACGTGAATGACATTAGGTGATCATAACCATACTAGTGCACTTAGCTACGTGATTAAGGTGGTTGTAAAGGTTAAATGCTTTTTTACCTTAATGCATTCTCTGTAAAAAAACTTTTAATAGTAGCTCCCCCAGCACCCCCCCCCCCCCCAATACTTATCTAAGACTGATCTCTATCCAGCACTGTGCATGTCTGCAGCAGCTCTTCTCCCCTCTCCCCACTCTTACAGGCTTGGCTGACAGCAGTAGGACCCATTGGTTCCTGCTGCTGTCAGTCAAAACCTGTGAGCAGAGAATGGGGGGGGGGGGGGGGCCAGCCAGGTTGTGTGTCTGAATAGATGCAAACAGCCTGGCTCAGGATGGAGCATGTACTAGTTCCCCCATAGGAAGTAGCTTCTTGTGGGGGCACTTGGGGAGGAGTCGCCACTGGTGGAGGACCTCAGAAGCGGAGGTTTGGGGCCACTTTGTGCAAAACCATTGCACAGAGCTGGTATGTATGACATGTTTATTTTTTTAATAACAAAAAATGTAAAGGTTTACAATCACTTTAAGTACTGTACCTGATTATCAACTACACATTAATTCAAAATAATCATAAAATTTAACTGAACTTTAAAAACACTAATATGAAATGATGAGCTTAAGCATTAACTACACTACCTAAATCATAGCCCCCATCAAAAGGTCATAATAAATATATATATACATATATATATATATATATATATATATATATATATATATATGAAATATTGGAAAAGATCCACTTAATTAGTCCTCATCATAGCACAGTATGACAACATTTGTTTTGCCAGTCTCCTGAAAATGATAAGGTTTATAAAAGTAAACATACTTTGCCCTTAAAGTCTTCTGTTTGTCTCAATGAATTGTACAATTATGAGTGCATTTGCATCTAAGGCACTGAACAAATATCATAGCAGAAAGTAGTGTACTTGTATTGCTTAACCCAGCATACCCCAGCATATCAAACTGTGCAAATTGCAAGCCTAAATCCAAACTCCATTTAAGTCTACGGGGAAGGGGGGGGAGGAGGAATCTTGAAAATCAGTTATTGCTACTTTCAAGGCTAATAGTTAAGTGACTGTCAAACAAAGAGCATGAAGAGCTAGGTGCTGCCATGGGGGATATGCACCAAATGCAAAAAAAATGTTTAAAACTTTTGTATTTCACAACAGGGAAAGGGTTCTATTTTTTTCTAAATATTTTTTATTGAAAGTATTTTTAATTATATTTAACAAAATTCTCATGTTGCTACATTTAACAATGAGTACAAAACGTAATTGTTATGTAATCAGCAGAATATGGGATAGGTGCCATTGTACTATCAACCCAGAAGTAATGTTAAGCAGTCATAGCTGGGTAAGTTTGGGTATCCAGGTAAGTGGAGGGAATGGCAAGGAATGAAAGGTCTTCAGGTAGGGTATGCAGGACAGGGGAAGGGATGGTGGGGGGATATCTAAAGATGTGGGGGGTTATAATGGGAATGCAGGGAGTGCAAATGTGGTCATTTAGAGGGAAGTGAAAGGGATCACAGAGGAGATAGGAGGTGTCAGAGAGCCTTTGTGTAATGGCTTGGCGACAGTCTACCTCTGATTGCTAGGCAGTTCATGTGCAGGGAAATCTTCAATAGATTTTTATTGACTTTTAAAAGGGAGTTACAAACAAAGAAGTACATGGATAAAAAAAAGGCACCAATGATAACAAATGGTAAGGCTGAGGCACTTACGAAGGAGAACATACAAAGTATGTGGGTTGTTTGACAATAAGTCATTAATATGGCATCGAGAGAAGATTGCCAGTAAAACAAGGACTTACAAAGGCATTGGCATCAGTTGTTAAACCGTTAAACCAGGTAGAACAAGGTTTCCATATTTTATCAAAGGAAGCAGCAGAACCATTCCAAAATGCAATCATTCTTTCATAAGAGAAATGTAAGCTAACTAGAGTGAGAGGTTCAGGTGGGTTGGGGGCAGGGGCGGACTGACAACTCATGGGGCCCCCCGGGCAATAGGGGATCATGGGGCCCCTGTGTTCTTGCCCAAACTCAAAAAAGCCCATGAAAAAGGTACCAGGGGCATCTCATGGGGCCCCGTACTGACCCCGGGCCCTCGGGCAGTGCCCGAGTTTCCAAATGGTCAGGGGCCATTTGTTGTTTCCAATGCCAGAATGTGAGTGACAACCGTGCGAAAAGGAGATGACACTTTCAATACCCATACTCAGGATAGCTAGAGCAGGGTTGGGGAACATTAGAAGTGTATTAGCTTTTACCAGCCATTGTCTTGAGGCAGGCCATGAGTAGATGGTTAAAGAGGCAAGAATATGATATATTAATAAGTAGGATTGTATTTGAAAAGTTGCCACCAGGTCCAGGTTTGGAAGAAGCAGACCGGCTTATTTTGGCTTATGTGGATTAATTCTTCCATAGGGTACATAGAGTTGATCATGTAAAGTTGCTGACAGATGGGTGTTGTGATTTCCGCCTGTGGGGAATTAGGGACTTAGCTGCGTTGCACAAGTCTGGTATTAAGGAACATTTATGCTTTGTCACACATAATTGATTATGTTTCCCCCTAGGCTTTTAGGCAGCAAAAAATAGATCAAATGCATCAAAACAAAAAATAACAACATCTTTATTTGTGCATAGGTTAAACCAAAATAGCGCTTAAAATATGAGCTCTGGTGTATTTTGTCCCCATATAATGCAAAAAAAGATAGCCCTATTACTGGCAGGCAAAATCCCAATATACAAAGTGAACTTCTCATAAGTTTTCCTGCCAAGAAAACCTAAAGCATTCAATTCAATCTCCATCAGAGGCATCAGGGGTGTCAAATCAAATACATCAAATTAAAGTTGATTCTAAAGGTTTATTTTTTTTTTTTTACAAAAATAACAAACATGTTTATAACTTACCTGCTGTGTGCAATGGTTTTGCAGTCCTCTTCTTGCCTCTGCCAGTGCTCCTGGCTCTTCCCTCCTGATGCGTGCCCTCACAGCAAGCAGCTTGCTATGGGGCAGCCAAGCATGCGCACTCCTCCGCTGCTGCTCTGTGTGTCCACTCACACATGGAGCCACGGCTCGGCCCCGCACCCTCTCTCTTCTTATTGGCTTACTAGTTGTAATTGACAATGGCTCCCGCTGCTGTCTCAGCCAATTAAGATTGGGAGTCCCAGGATAGCTGAGACTCCAGTGCGCATTGCTGGATTGAGAGGGGGCTTAGGTGAGTATTGGGGGGGGCTTGGGGTATTGGGGGTGCACTCACACAGAATAGGTTTTTTACCTTCATGCATAGAATGCATGAAGGTAAAAAACCTTCAGCCTTCACAACCACTTTAAGGCTTTGCACAACACATTACCATACATTCAAAAAGTATATTATACGACTTCACTGGATGTACGTTTGTTACACGATACAAACACCTTACAATATGGGGATGATGAACATTAACCAGAGCAGTTAAAGGGCCAGTTCACACTACAAAAATGCACTCCAGATGCATTCCAGGTACGTTTTTGCTTACAGTTCACACCACACGCAGTTCCGGTGCAGTTTTGATGCAGTTTGCTATGTTCCAGTACAGTTCTGTGCAGAAAAAATACACCATGTTCTACTTTTTTTTTCTGCATCGGAAACTGACTTGAATTGACTGCACTAGTGTGTACCAGGGCCATTGGAATATAGTAATACCTCGGTTTATGAATTTAATTCGTTCTGCGGGACTTTTCGTCTAGTGAAAAATTAGTAAACCGAAACACCGTTTCCTATAGGAATGCATTGAAAACCAATGAATCTGTTTCGGAGGTCAGAAACAAGTCAAAAACAAGTCTTTTATCTCTTCAAAACTATTTATAAAGTGCACTTTTTAAAGGCATAAATACTGTACAGGGACAGGATTACTCAAGCAACAACATTTCAAACATTCAACTTCAACTTTTAAAGCATCACACATCAACTTTTAAAACATGGCAATCTTTTCAAAACAATTTCAACACTTTTTGGAGGAGGAGCAGGGCACAAGCAGGTTCTTTCTCATGTCTAGGCTGTTTTAGTAGGAACCTTTCCATTCTCTGCTGCCTCCGGCACCTTTTAAGCATCCCTCGGAAAGGGGACATGATGTCGGTGTCAAAACTGTTCACAAGTCTCTAGGCCTTATCTGGGTGGTGCTGCTGTACAAAAGTCTGTAGGTTTACTCACAGTTGGCATGCCTCCTTGAGTTCCCTGGAAGAGAGCTGTTTCCTCCTCCTCAAATGAGACCTGCTCCTCCATCGCCTCCTTCACCTCCTCGTTCCTCCATCGCCTCCTCATTCCACCAGGTCCTCAGTGGTTAGCCATGACACCACAGTCACTAAGTGAGCAGAAAATTTAAAAAATGCTTTACACCCACACCCAAGCTCTCAATGCTCCAGTCCAAGAGCCCCAAGTATATCCACACAAGATACTGTACTGTAGAGTAATGAAATCCCCACAAATCAGTCCACATGAGCTGGCATGGAAACCACCCCACAATGCAGAACACACAGTAAAAGGCATGCAAACGACAAAGCTCACCTCCCTACCTTTCCACAGACTCCAGCATGCACGGTGCTATAAACCTGTTAGGCGCAACACCGACTCCAGCATACATGGTGCTACTGTATAAACTTCCAAGGTTCAACACAGACTCCAGCATGCACGGTGCTATAAACCTCCCAGGCGCAATGCATCCTGGGGAAACTTGCTTCGTATTGCAGTAAAAATGAGTAAACCGAGGCATTATTGTTAATGGATTTTCATTTGTAAACCGAAAATTCTGTTAACTGAGGCGCACGTAAACCGAGGTACTACTGTACATGGAAAACACCGTGCATACATTTTTGATGCAGAAAAAAACAACACTGGACTGCATCTAGTGTGAACTAGCCAAAAATGCAGGGATTTTTCTCTTCTGCCACACCAACCACAAGCCTTCTGAGGGTTGCAGGAGGACACACAGGTTCTGCACCAGGGAATGGGGAGAACCACATACACCTGCACCACTAGAAATGAAAGAAATGTAAATGTATTTTTCAGCATGGGCAGAGAACACATAGTGCTGATTGCTATTATACAGCTGTGGTACTAACCAGAACTGTAAGGGGAGCATAGGATGTTATCTGAAGTAATTGCATAAACAAAGTCCTTGGAAAGACATTCTATGGACGACATCATTAAACTACGGTCTCAGGAAGGCACAATAATTGTATAATATAGAAATTATGCACTATACTGTGTCATTGTCATTATGGTGTGGTGTTGTAGGAATGGGGAATGAAAAGGCAATGAGATATCAGTGATTATGGTGATGAGGTGGTATATTCAGTCTGGAATGGCCAGATGAGCTGACACTGCCACCATATGTTGATGGGGTTTTTTTAATGGGGTTTTTTTTCTATCTTTCCTCCCTGAATGTGATCTGGAGGATCTATAATTATAATATCTTTATGGACGAAGTGGATGACCTAGTATACCTTTGATTCATCATTCTACAGCTATTTTATTTACTCTAAGATCTTTCATTCTATTTATATATGCATTCAAGGGACTATTGTCACTTTGAAAGTGTACCACCACTATTCCTATGTGACCATTACATCTTTACTGTTAATAGTATGTTTAGTATGAGTGAGTTTATACATATATTTATACTTTAAGATGTATTTACATATTTTTTCACTAAAAGGATCATTTTGGGTGGAATTTTGTTTTTATTAGGTATACCCTTGTTTTTAACCTGCATTTTGTGTCTTTACAATTTTGTAATAAAATAGGTTGGTTGCATAATACATGTACATCCTTTTTTCGTATATTTTAACCTCTGTGGCAGCCCTACAAAGTAGATATATTTATAGGAACGGTTTCTAAAAATTTTCAAACTAGCCTCAACTGCATCTTTGGGCTTTTCTGATTTGACAGAAAAAATCAGGATCAGTGATAGGCAAAATGTCAGGGCAGCCAGCAAATAAACATAGTCAGAAATGCAGAAAATAACAATACTTAGGCAACAGGTGTTGGTCTGAGCATAGCTAAGTAGTGAACTTGACTGTCAGACTGGGTGGGGACTTATCCTGTAGGTGGTTTATAAACCAGCAGGTAATTTCTGGAAGCACCTATAACTCTTATTCCTGGAAGAAAGCAAGAATGCAAGCTACGGAGAGGAAACAGTGACCACATGCTAACAGAAGCACAAATAGCAGCATATCTGCTTTACAGCTGATCGGTGATTAGTTTTTGTTAAAAGCAGTTAAAGTCCAACAGTCTTTTAAACAAAATAGGGCAGAAGCCAAAAGCTGGATCAAAATTCAGCTGGTTCAGCAAGGACAGGCCAAATTTCAATCTATGTATGGGCACTGTGGTTGTACAGAAGTCAGTCTACTGATCTATAGCTGACTTTTAGCTTGCAGCGCTGATCTGTGTATTCTGAAGACAGGAAAGTCTTCCAGCTGTCAGAAAAAAATAACACAGCAGGAGAATCCCCCTATCCAGCTTGAATGTGTGGATGGCGGAATCAGATCAGTGTTTTTCCTTCATCCTACTGGTTGAAAAAAAAACCAGACTCTTCTATGGCTAGCTTAAGTTTTCACAGCACTAAGAACCAAACACTGATCCAGACCCAGCCGTTTTCCCACCCACCACTACTTTTTTAGATTTTAATTTTCTTTTACACTCATGACAGATCAGCATTTTTTGTCTCTTTTTCACTTGTGATTTATTTATGTGATCAAGTGCTGGTAATACTTGTGAGCTAATATGGTGAAATTCAAAAGTGCTTAAATTAATCAATCAATCAAAATAAATGCAAATGTGGTTCGCTAGCTCCTTACACTAACTCATAAATAGTGCTGACACCTCAATTCAAATATTAACAATGGTGCTGGGCTCCCGTGCTATTAATAGTGTTTACCCATAATATAATGTGACAATAAAATAAATACTTAAAACAAACTTATATTCATCTGTGACTTGTGTTCGTGATCAAATTATAAACCTGATTATTAACAAAACCAAAGCCAAAAAATGTATAAAATATGATGACCAAAACACAATAATAACATTTCCTCCAATAAACCAAATAAACAATTATAACCTCAAAAAAAAAAAAAAAATGTCCGTATTAAGTGAGGG